CACAATGGAGGCTGATACAGTGTCTCAAAACCATGGTCCAGCCACGCTGATACATAGCCAGCACAGAGCATAATACAAATGGCAAGGAAGTCAGATGCTAGCAGGCTTGAGGTCATTATTGGAAAGCAGTAGAAAGTAGAATTGAAGCTGCAGAATGTGAAATCAGTGATATGGAACACAAACTTGAGACCCTTTTCAAGGTTGCTTATGAAAAGAATAAGAAAACAGATAAATAGAAGAGTTCACGAGCCAGTGCTGGAATTCCTGAAGAAGAGACAGGCTGAAAAAAAGGTTTGTGTTTGTCAGTGGAAAGAGCCACAAGTAAACACACGTTCTTATTAATGTGGGCTCCTCGGATCTCAAAACTGTTGCAGAAGGGATTGATTTTGCAGTGGGTTCTACTTCCATAGACAGCACCTCAGAGCTCAGGCCTCCAAAACCAGCAGGACAGATCTCCTGGGGATTCTAAATTAGTCTGTCCCTGCTTCAGTTGGTGCTGAGGCTGCTGTGTGCTAGGAAGCAGGTGTCTAGCGTGGAGGCTGCACTCACCGCCAACAATCTACCAGGGAGGATTCTCATAGCAGCAAGGCAGACCTTCATGGGTGTGTGACTGGAGTGTACCACTCCTTCCCCTACCCAGGAAATGCTGCTTGCCAGAGTGCTACAGACTGCAATGGAAAGCCCCTGCAAGGAGTCTGTTCCAGTAAGCAACACTCTACTCAATTCCTTACATGTCCCGTAGCTCAGACCTCCAAAACCAACAAGACAGACTTCTCTGGGGATCAGTTCAACTCTGGCCCCCTTTCCAGTTGGCGCTGATGACTACTGACTGAGGTTTATAATCTAATGAAAACACAACATGCCAAAATATGTTATGCAAAAAAAAAAAAAATGTTATGAAGCTGAGGTGGTGCTCAGAGGGAAATACAGACTCCAGTAAATAAATGCCTAATAAAAAAAGATGAACTCAGATCAGCAGCCTAACTTGACACCCCCAGGAATTAGAAAGAGAAGAGCAAACTAACCCTAAACCAACCAAGAGACAGAAAATAACAGTGATCAGAGCAGAAATGAATAATATCAAAAACGGAAAAATATAGAGAGTCAGTAAGATCAGAATTTGGTTCTTTGAAAAGATCAATAAAATTGACACATTTTAGTGAGACTGACAAAAGTAGAGAAAAGATGCAAATTGCCAAAATAATGAAAAAGGAGACATTACAACTGACCCGATTAAAAGAGAATTTTGAAACTGTTATGAACAAACGTACAGCAGCAAACTAGATTAATTTAGATGAAATCGACAGATCTTTAGGAGCACACAACTTCCTCATACTAACCCAAGAGGACACAGAAAGTCCAACAGACCCAGAACAAGTGAAGAGATCGAATCAGTGACCAAAACCTCCCAACAACAACAAAGCCCTGGGCTGTATGGCTTCAGTGGGGAATTTACCAAAAATTTAGAGAGCTGACATCAATGCTATTTAACACGGTATATGACAAAATAAGGAGTCCTAGTGTGGCGCGGTCGGTTAATGCGCCAGACTGCAAAGCCATTTGAACTGCAAGGTCGGCGGTTCAAGCTCACCAGCTGCTCCTCGGAGATCCTATACAGGGTCATTATAGGTCAGAATCGACTCGATGTCACTTAACAACAACAACAGTTACAAGAGAGTTTCTTAAAGGAAAATTTTACCTCTTTTTAATAGTTTAAGAAATAAGCCCCTCAGAGCAAACCCCCTTCCAAGACTAAGACTCAACGGGAATACACGCTCTGATTGGTGACCATGCTCGTCACCGATAAAGGGAACTGAGGGAAAAACAGCAATGAAGCTGCGAGCTAAGCCCTACAACATTCAATAGACTCCTATGAACCCGGGTGAAGACCTGGTTGACCAGCAGTGTGGCAAGACCTGGGGACTCTTGGGCCCAGAGTCAGTGACACAGCCACAGAGGACTAGAGTGGAGAGTGAAGCATCCAGCTGATCAG